GGCGACGGCGGCGGCCGCCGCCCCCACCGCAGGCCAGGGGGGAGCCCGCGAAGCGCGAGTGGGGGGCCGGGGCGATCTCTGTGGGCGGCGCGCGACCTGCCCTGCCGTCCGTGCCGCCGCCGCCGCCGCCGCCGCCGCGCTGGGCAACAAAAACGGTTTTTGTATCCCCGACGATAAAGGTTAGTTGGTTTCGTGATCGATTGAAATGGTCGGCGATGGGGGAAGGGGGCAAGCATGAAAGGAGGGCGGGGAGAGAATGTACCCAAAGAGGGCCGGCGGGGTAAGGCCACCGGGTAATCGCGGACTCAAAACGCCACCCTCAAATCAGTGGCACGGTGCGCCAGAGAGCCCAGGAGGCGAGGCGGGAGCTGTCAGAACGAGCACGGTATCTACGGGCACACACGCGCAACAAACACACCGGTCTCTTGGAGCGAGAACGGACCCCCCGTGTTCACGGTGCACTGCACGAGACGGAGACAACAAAATGACTCTTTCTAAGACCAAACCCAAGAGGCACGAGCGAGACTCGCCTAAGCGTGAACATCATACTGTAAATGACGTCCGCCCCTATCCACTGCATTGGAACCCCGAGTCTGTTCGTGAGATCAAGACGGCTCCAGTGGCAGCGCTTACACCCTGCCCTTCGGGTCAAAGTGCCGGCGAAACGAGAGCTCGGCAAAAAAAACTCCTGCATTCAGCTGTTCACCTTTGGCCCGGACTTCAGCCTCGCGCTGTACCTGCAGGTCGCGAACTGGGCGGCGCACGTGCCGCACGTAGGCCGCACAGAGTCGCACCTTGTCTTTCGCGCGGTGCAAACGTCGCACGCCTTCCGGGGCTTCGCCTTCTGCGACGCCAAGGATACAAGAGCGGGCGGGCGGGGTATGGGATGATACCATAAAGAACCCACTGTAGTTGCTTACTCGTATGTGCCTTTCTTAGATTATGCGCACACCTTGAGTTACCTCGGCAGGTGCTTCGAACATGTACAATACCCAAAGCTGCAGACGGTCGCCCAGAACAGGTGGGATTAAGCACACAAGCCTTGAGGGAGTATGGGGGGGGAGCGGCACTGAAGCATTACCCGGTCTCCCCAAAAAAACACGCCCCAACAACAAAGGCGGACGAGGAAAAAGCCCACACGTGAAAAACAGGAGGGAAGGGTGACGATTGACAAACAAACTTCATCCATCCACGCAAAAAAAAACGCAACAACGACAAAAAAGCACCACAGCACGCGGCATGCCGATCCTTCCAACCCACCCATTGCGCTGTCTCCACTAACAATGACAATCACCGTGTGTACTATGCCTGTTTGCTTGCCGTAGCTCACCGCTATCATGCCGCCCGCGGCGTGCCGAGAGCAGCGCGTCGGGGAAAGCGACGCGGGAGGGGCGAACCTGGCGAAGTCCTTGCATTCGGGTGCCTCGCAAGACTCCAGGTCTTTCCCCGGCGAGCTGTTGCAGGTACAGCAGTAAATAACATGGTCGGGTCGACATCATTCACGACGACAACGCAAGAGAGCTCGCGTGACAATGAGGCGGCAGCAGGCGGAAGGGTTGGGTGGTGCCAGGTCGAGAAGGCGGTGGCGTATATTTCGGGTGGAGGCGTATTCCGGCACCCTGCCCCCCCCCCAGCCGCAGTCGGCCAGCCGGCTAGCGTTGTTCGATGCCTAAATACATCACCAACACGAACCCGTTGCAGGCACACACGAGACTATGGCAGGAGGAGGGGGAGAAGCAATATGGAGCGAAGATGGAGGCGGTGTGGGGTACAATGACACATAAAACCAAGAGCCGTTTCTACCGTGTCGTTACTTTTCCCTGCCCCCATGTACCCCACCTAGCCTACTGCGTCTCTGGCCGCTCTATTTATTAATACTCGGTAGGTTCTTCGGCGCATGTTGGGGGTTCTTTTTACAAATCTGGATATCTTTCTTTTTTTTTTTGCTTCGAATATTCTTGTTGGCTACTGGCAACTTCGACGATGGCCCCGGAAATCCGTCGTTGCTTCGCCTTTGAACAGCCCGGGCGAGAGCATAAAAGATAATCCTCTTACCCTGGTACACAGTAGATAAGATGGTCTTGGAAGGACTAGACAAAAAACAACAACAACAACAACAACAACAACACGCCCCAAATCAAGTGAGCCTGCGTTCATCGATCCCATGGGTACAGCAAACAACAGTAGTCGCCGCCGTTTTATAGGGTGGGTGGCCGGGATAGCGCGGGTGAAAGAAGATCGAACAATCACGCTTTTATTAATAGTTGAGCAGGACGAAAACCCACTATTATGCCGCTGTACAGTACTAAAGGAGTGTGGGAGAGTCAGCCTGGAACATAAACGCCGTATAGAAGAAGGCGCACAGCTGCAAATACAGTACTGTATGCATACAACAGGGTGAAAACCCACGATCGGTTGGGTGAATCACCCCAACAAATACATACCCGCCGCACAAAGGCTGAATACATAGTAGTGTACAACAGGACTGTCGTGACACAAGCTGCCGCACACGGGTCATCATCCCTTCAGCCCTTACCATACATACGGCCACAAAACAAACAAAAACCTCTCCTCCCATTATTTCGTAAGCAATAAGGACAGCATTCCCCCCAAAGACAGCAACAAGAAACACGCACCGGTCTGCCGGCGATGCTTTCCTCATCTTTTTCGCGAACGTTCCCTTGCTCTCGATCATGGGAGAACCCCGTCTTGCTCCCCCCCCGGCCGCCGCCGCGCCGTTCCCTTTTCCTGCGGCCGCCGCCCCTGCCGCCGCTCCACCCGCGTGCCTCGTGTACAAGCTGTGCGTAGACATGGCGTGGTCGAACGTCCGCTTCCCCTTCTGCCCAGCTGCCGTACTAGTAGGGGAGGGGCGGCCGGGGCAGCCAGCTGCCTCCCACTCCTTAAGAAACCGCGCGCTCAGGGCGGACGCGGTGGCAGCTGCATCGGCGCCGGCCGCCGCTGCTGACGCCGCCGCCGCCGCCCCCGCCGCCTCGGACATCGCCGGGGGGTCAGGGACTGTCACCTATTGTGCGTGAGCGCGACAATCGGTATCTTTTCATCGTTTCGACAAACGAGATTGTATCCCATGCTGCTGCTGCTGTGGCGAGCTAACTCAGGCTTCCGAGCAACCGAGAGCGCTAGCTGACTGACACAGTAGTCTAGTGGTAGAGGGAGAGGTGCAGAACGAGGTGAAGGCACAGCAGCCTACAGCAGTGTCAGGGCGGGCCCAAGGCAACACGGTTCCGCGACATTTAGCCCTTGTACGTACGTAAGGGTGGATAGTTCACTTGTTGCGGAGTCGTGGTTCACAGGGGGGAAACATACAATCCGGGAATATAGTCGGATGCCTAGTCTACACAACAGCCGGTGTGGGCTTGGGACGATAGGCGTCCTAGTCCTCGTGTACAAGAGGACGGTGGTTGATCTACAGTACGACGGGGCGCGAATGCGCCTACAGCAGTTTACACGCGTTTTCTGCAAGTTGGTTGTTGTTGGGAAAGGAGATAAGCCGAGAAGAATCTGACGAAACGTGCGAGGAAATGATCCGATGTTGACATAAAAAAAAATTCAAGGCAAACGCGGTTGTACCTGGCGACTCTGGAGGACAGCGGGAAAGCCCCAAGCCCGTTATGGCTCACGCCTATGACTCACCCTGTTAGTGGAGATCATCCACTCCAGCAGGGCGCCCAGGTTCCGCTGTAAGCCGCTGTTTCCCGCCATGGTAAAGGAGACCTCTCGGTTGGTTTGATCGAAAATTTTATCAAGCCGGCACAACTCCGCGTCGTTATTATGTAGTTGAGCAGATATCCACGGCAGATCGGGACGTGGTATCAGCTGTCAAGAGAGAGACAGGGAGAGCGAGAGCGAGAGCGAGAGAGCGAGGGCGAGAGGACCCTGCAGGGCTTCTCCACTTGGGCGTGATTCACCCTCGCAGGGGGTGTTCAAGTTGGCGAAAATCCGCCCCAGCTGCTGCTGCTACAGCAGTCAGCTCCTTCTTGGGCGTTTGCCAGCAGAGCGGCTGCGAACGAACGTGTATTATGCCGAAAGCCTCGATTGACGACCCGAAAGCCTCTGGATTGGTGACCGGCGGCGGTGAGTGCCGGTGAGGATAACGCGTCAGTGGATCTACGCCCCCCTCCAGTGGTAGCCCAATCTCCACGCCCCGTCAACGCTGGCACGTGGGGTGTCCTGTGGTGAGTGTGCGTGTGTCTCCAGCCAGGCTTTTTCGAGATCTACAGGGGGTGACGCAGAATGAGAGGCAGCGAACCTGCGTGCACGCCTCCAGAACCTACCTGGCAGCACATGCACATGACAGACGTAGGTGAAATCCACACGGCACATGTGGCCACCGTTCCCTCTGTGCCATGCAGACGGACGGAGCCTCTCCAGTGCCAGCAGCACACGGCCAGTAGCAGCATGAAGGCTCCGACTGCTGATTTTTCTTGTGAAAGTGTTGCTTACTCGTACGTTGTTACTTCGGAGAGCGTGCGCCCATCCATGTACGACAAGCTATCTATCTATCTATTATGTGTAGGGAGGCACGGCGCCGATATATCCTTTCGCGAAGCAAGCGGAGATCGGAGCGGAGATCCATATTCTAGCTAGAGACACGTGTACATGTTCACGGGGAGGATGCCATGGCTAATGGTTAAGTGGTAGACGAAAATGCAGCTCTTTGTGGCGCTGGCGAAGCAAGAAGACATGACGATTAAACGACTACCTTGACCGCCGGCGGCGGTCCAGGTCTACAGTCTACAGCAGTAGTAGTAGATAGATCCACAGGTTCAGTTCCTGTAGTTATATAGCGTACCATCGGTAGCAGCATAGACTACCAGGCGTTCAAGCCCATCCCGACAGATCTCCACAGGTGGTGCGATGTAAGCGTATGCCATTGAGTTTGTGGACCTGTCTCGTGTACATGAGCGAACGTGTCCTCTGTCGTGCTGCGCAGTATTTATTTATTGGTCGAGCACATCATCATCAGTCATCGTGTTCGTATCCCGTGACCGTACGTTGTTACTGCCAAACCTAAGCAACTAACTCTCACAAACTCCGTCCCTTCCACGCTTACGCCGTGCCACCCCACCCATTGCTTCAACGTCACACATCAACTCCAACGGCGTAAAACCCTACACGGGGGTTCAAGCGACAGCGAAACCCAACACAGGCATCCACAATAAGTCTTCGAGAAACAGCGGACTTCGAGAGCAAGCCGATCAATTAGGCCGCACTCGAGCAGTTTCCCTGGAACCGAGGGAAGCATACGGGGTGTATGGTAGGATCTCTCGTTAGAGAACCTTGAACATGACAGGGACCAGAGCGGTTGAAGCATTCCGGACTTCTCATGTCCGTGGCACGAGGAGAACACCGTGGTGGCAGGGACTGACTTCAGATCCCAGGGGCACTCCCTTTGATTCCGCCGCCATTCATTCGTCGTTTGGACACCGTCGTGTCACGCGTCGCCATGTGAGCAAATTCGTTTTCGTTCGATGTGCCTTGCGTGCGGTTCGCTTGACGCCATCAACACCCCGACAACCTCACCATTTTGCCTAGGCCGGCAGCTGCTAGCATGTATGCGTTCCAGCAAAAGGAGAGGCTGGAATTGAACGAAAGCGCACCACCGCCCGTAGCAGCGACATGGGGAGGTACTATTACTACATGCAGGTCCGTTGAAGACAGAACCAGTGCACCATGGACGGCCTTCGGTGGTTGATCGGGGACGATATCCTGCCGTCTCTGACGCTACACACACGCAATACCTTGTCCAAGCACACCCATCCGCACACATTCCGAAAAAAAACACAGCTGTGGATGCCAGTCGCCGATGGCGCACGCTGATTTTCTAGGGCTCAGACTATCACTGGTGGAACTGACATACCCTCCCGATGTACCCTTTCATGTCTATGGATTGCAACACATAGCTGACGTTTCATGTTCCTCCGCGTGACCTAGTGTACGCAGAAGCGCATCCGATGAACCCTTACCCGCCAACAAGCGGTACTGCTGTCTCAGTGGCACGAACGGCTAAGGTGCCATGTTTGGAAGACATGGCCGTTTGACACAGTCAGCCGGTGAACAAATAGCGTAGGCCTACGCGCATGCACCGGCATGTTGTCGATACCACAGTAGCCAATGGGGGAGCCTGAAGTGTTGCCATGACTGAAGAGTTTTCTTGTAGAAGAGAGATTTGCCGGAACATAAGCAAGAAATGCGCTGCAAGCTGTTTTCTTCGATAAATACAATCGATCGACTCCAAACAAAACATTAAATATTTTTGCGAAACAGAGGCGTGGGGCGCGCATTCGCCTCACACCAACATGGGAATGACCAAAAATTGAAATCAACTCTATTAGGAATTCTAACAAAACAGCATCTCGTGGCCTGGTTCCTAGCACACCAGATACAGCAGTGCCCTGAGAATCTAACGACGGCTGATTTGCGGTTGGCAAAAAACCCTTCAACCCCACCGAGGAACCATTCCTCTCTGCTGTACACCCGCTTCATCAAATGCATCGCCAAATCAGCCGCCAGTCAGTGCACTCCGTCGTCTACAACACCTCCGGTCGAGCTCCATCACCACTGCCACCACCACCACCACCACCACTTTCTACTCTTTCTTTCCGCCTCGGTCTATCATTCGCACCTCTAAAACTCCTCAAAATCCCCATTCTTCTCCCTCTCACCCGCATCCGCAACGTCAGCGCCTCGTTCCTGCCTCTCCTACCTCCCGGCCTCAAGTCTAACCCTGCGGTGACCCCCACCCCGGCATCATCGGCCTTTCCCACGGGCAAGCCCCCGTTGAGTCTGCCACTTCTATACCCGGCACCCGTCGTACAGATGCGCTCTAGTTTCTTCTGCTGCTCCCTTCTTTTCAAGGAGAACTCTCTCATGCGCCGTCGCTTTCTCTCCAGCCCGCCCTCCTGCACGTCGCGCTCCATCTCCGACTTCTCCGAAGCAAGGTCGTTCGCCAGCAGCCACCCCATCCCGAGCGTCTTCTCGCCGCCATTCGTCGCCGCCGCCACCGCCGCCGCAGTGCACCCCTCCCCGTTGACGACGCCCTTGGGAAACTCCATGCCGCTCAGATAACTCTTGGAAACCTGGACGGCGTTCCGCGACTCTCTCGGGCCGCCGGTCAACGCGGAGCCCCCCCCCGTGCCGTCCTCCCTGGAGGAGAACAAACCCAGGCGCTCTCGAACCACCGCCTCCTGCATCTCGGCCATGGCAGCCGGGGGCGGTAGGCCAGGAGCCCCTTGTTGTTGGTGCCGTCGCCGCCGTCGCCGTCTCCTGGGGTGTCTGCGTCGCCGGCGTTGGTCCCACTCGAAACCGCCACCACCCGTCGTTGGCAGTGGCATCAGGGACGGCACGTCCGTCTTGGTCGACTCTCGGAGCGGGATCCCTGAGTCGACCATCGCCATGAGCACGCGGTGGCCCTTGCGTGTTCCCGAGAGAGATTTGGGGGTGGTGGCAGTAGCATCATGCCCCGGAGACGGGCCGGAGACGGGGGGAGGGGAGGGGGGGGGGGGGCACCTGAGCTTTTGATGTTTTGAGGCAAAGAACAAAATTTCAAAAAATAACATTGGGGGAAAAACGAACACGTCTTTGAGACTCGTCATGAAACATTCATTCAACACATGTGTACATCGGTGCTGATGAACATCATTCTAACCCCCCGAATAACCTATTTTGCAATACTAGCCGGACGAAAATTATAAACGCCGACGAATGCAGGAAAACAGAGAAGCCACAGAAGACTTGTTGACACTTGGAAGGGATACATGCAAGTGTTCCCAAGTCCTCGTGCGACGCCGTGCCCACCAAGGTTGGGCTAGAAGGCATCAATCGATTGTCAGAAAGGAGGCGACACCCATTGCACGCATGCTCCAGCTTCATAGCGCCCATACAACCACTAGACAAGTTAAAGGTCAGGCATGCAGCAACAGCAGTGGCGAGAAAAGAGTGGGCTGCCAGCCTGCGGTGAGTGAAGCGATTCCCAGGCCGCGCTAGGAGCGCAAAAGGCTATAACAGCTGAAACAAACCTCGTCAAACATCGAACGGGTATGCTTTGCTGTGTGACTGTATGGTATCTGAGATTGATTGTACAGTACCTAAAAAACACATCGTCAGCTACGCATACGACGAATAAGGGCTATCGTCCAAGGACACTTTACCTCACCTCTTGGATCATCCCCGCTCTCCCCAACGCCTCCGCGGCCAGGCACCAGCACCGGCGATCCGGGGGGCCGCCGCTGAGCTCTGTCCCCTTACCCTCCCCCTCGGTGGTGATCGCAGACGACAGCTTCTGCAACGCCTTCGGCTCCGCAGCCTGACGGCCGATCACCTCTAACGCAGTGCGGCCGTCGCTAACCTCGACGCACGCCTTCAGAACGCACTCGAACACCTGGTTCGAGATGACGGGGTACCCGTGGGCAACGAACGGCTTGTTATTCCTTACCCAACAGGCACGGGAGCAGGTCAAAAGCAGGCGCGTTGGCGTACCAACATTATGCCAGCCGCCCCCCCCCCGTCTCGATGTTGCGATCAAGTTGGGGCTCCAAGAGGACGTTAGAAGCGAGTGTGGGTTTCGCGCCAAGGGCAGGCTACGAACCTTTTCGCCGCGCCATACTGCCGCCCAAAGAAGCTATTTGGACGATTCATTCAAGCGCAGCACACAGCAACAGGCAGCCGGCACTACACCCAAGCCGGAACGCCACAACCTTCACGCGCGGGACCCCCTCCCCTCCGATAACAAATTCCTAAAAAGCCAACCAGAAAAAACTGCAACTCCATAGATAGTAGATAACCATAGATAGAAGGTAACCCGGCCCTCTAGCCTTCGTAATAATCTCACCCGATACTTCACCGGCCCCGCTTCACCGCCTTCTCGCCCGACCACGAACCCCTCCTGGTAGGCTTCGATCGCCCTCTCCCACATGGACGCCTGCGCGTAGGCCTCCACCAACGGCGCGTAGCAGTCCGAGCTCAACATCCTGGGCCGATGTTGCTCACCCCCTCCCCCCTTGCCCTCCCCGTTGTTGACAACAACGCCGTCATCCATGGCGTCTGTCTCTTTTTCCGCTACCACTCCGACGCGCAGAGCACGCATGTCCTTCATGAGGCTTTCGATCACGTCCCAGCGACCCCACTTCGAGGCAGCACGAAGGGTGTAGAGGTAGCACTTCTGCTCTCGCCAAAGAAGGGGGGGAGACGGGCGGGGCGATATGTGTTCGTTGTGGGCGAAGACTGAGCACACCGGGGCGGGGGGCACTTACTTGCTGCGCTCAATGCATTGCTTGTCGCGGTCGTCTAACCATTGGCCACCCGAACTCCTTTGGAGACGGAACATTTTCACCTTATAACCTACAGAGCGTCGGCAACAATTTTCAGGCGCGTTTACTTGCAACATGCTCACACGTGAGCTAATATTGTGCTTTATTTACACTATACCACCTCTTCGTTAGGCGTTTCGGGCCACAACTGATCATGACGTAAAAGTGGAGAGGCTCCACGGATAAAATAGTCGAGCCCGGTTGCGTGCTTACATCGTTCTAGGGTTCGTATGGCCTTCAACGAACAAGGCAGCCGAGGAATACAACAAGCACGCAATCTTGTATTGACACAGACGTTGTCGGTAGCTAACCGACTAACGAAAATCACACTCATCGCCGTGACAACCACCAGAACTGGCGGAAGGCCTAGAAGCTGAACATCATCTCCGACGAGGGAAGAGGAGACGACCCCGGCGTGGCAGTCCACAAGAATCACCTTGCTTGGCGTGCCTCCCGCGGCGCGCATCTGCTGTACGAGGCGCATGGCCACCTCGAACTGACCGGCCTCCGACACCGCGCTCAGCACCTGCGTCAGGCAACAAACACCGGCAACGAGAAAAAATATATATGAAAGAGCGCAGCAAAATAACAAATGACTACGGAGGTTGCAGCTGTTCGAATGACATGCGCCTTTCCGGCAGCAAATGTTAGCAACTAATACTGTGACAAGAGCGCCTTGAGATTTCCAACGACAATTTATGCGTGTCTTCATGCGCGCGGGCTAATGTCTGGCGATGTCATTGTTGTTCAACCATGAGCGATTAGCCTTCGCGCAACTACAATCGTAGTGACGGCCACGAGCCCCTGCTCCACTTCCGCCTGGATATCTATTGCTCACACGACAGCGCAAATCAACGAAAAAAAAAAAGCGGTTCAGGATGAACCAACAATGCTGGCTCGTTGTGCCGAAGAGACCACCCCACCCTCGCGTGAGGCCGAGAGAGGAATCAATCTGCCGCGATCTGAGAAATACATCGTGCATAGTTGTTGTGCATATGGAAGCTAAATACGATGGCTGGCATACTGCTTGAGCAGTAGAGAAAGAGCACGGGCAACAAGGGATGTCAAGGATCCTACACATGTAGAGCAAGGATGAAACACACGAGAATGCCATGCCGAATCGTTGTTATAGCAGCCTGCGAAGGGGAGTCGGGAGGCACCGCCCCTGCGAGCACCAGCCGATGCCGTTGTCTCACCACTTCAAGGGTTTTCATGTGCGTTCTTGCCGCTTGCTTCTTGGCCTTCGCCGCGGCCTCCATTTTCTGCCGCTGCAACGGCTTCCCACCTGCAGGACGACAGGGTGAGCGGCGACAACAACAGCAGCAACAATACCAACATTTAGCAAGACAAGAACAACAACAGCAGCAGCAACACCTGCACCAACACCAACATTCAACAACAAAAACAATCACGAACATAGAATTGGGGCTCGCAACACTAACAGCAACAGTTTTCCTGCGTGTACTCGACAGCCCCGCCGACACCATTTTTCGGCACGTTCTTTGGCGGAACCTTCTTCGAAACTCTTCCTGAGCCCACTCACCGTTTTTCTCGTTGGCCTCTTTCTCCTCCCGCACGTCCAACGCTCGCCGCTCCACCATGAGAGACAGCGCGCGCTCCCACTGCGCCCCCTTCGCGCAAGCCTTGACCGCTAGCAGATACATCGGGCCTTTGAGAGGCCAACAGCACGGTGGCAGGGCAAGCAGCAAGAGGTGTATACGTGGTGCGGGTAGGGATAGAGGGGCGTGGTTGGCGTATCCATGTCTGGAAAACGACGGTGTAAACACCAAGGGTCGGTATAACAGGACAGGACAGGGTGTCTCGTGCCTCACTAGTTTCTGACCGTCGCTCGATTGAAATCATGTCAAGATAACAGTACAGCAGTCATGAGAGGAACACAACCCACGGTAGAACTGCACGTTGCCGCTGATTGGATGGGCAGACGACACCTGGGGGCTTCGAAACAATAGCCCGTTATCAGCGACTGACCCCGCACCCACCTAGCTCCCCTAACTGATTGACATGAGACTATACAATCGTAGTAAGAACAACGCCCCCCATCTGGTCACGTGCTCAGAGTTCCAACAACGAAGGCATGAACAACATGAGTACGCCCCCCCCCCATCTCCTACAGCCACAGGCTGTGTGGGGCGGAGAGTGCCAATGGCCTGAAGCTACGGTTTCGTGATAACACGTGCCCCCCCCCAACCGCGCGCCTCTTCCTGCCGTGCAAGCACTCTCACCAGACGGGCGGCGCTTGGCGACGCGCATGTCCTCCATCAGGATCATCGCGCGGCGCCAGTCTCCGTACGCGTCGCAGAACTGGAGGCCGGCTCGATGCCCGTGTGGTAGCAGAGGCGCGCGCGCGTCCACTAGTCTGGCCATAACCTGTTGGGGACATGGTGGGGCGGGTGGGTGTGGGGGGGGGCGCGTCAGCTACCAGGAGCGGTTGTTGGCCTCTTCAAGTCACGCAGCAAACCTTTCGATGACGTCGGCTGGTTGTCCCGGAATGAGATAATTGGACGATCGCACCGGGGAGCGAAGCGTATCAAACACTCTTCGAGTAGCATTAGAGGAACACATGCACAGGGCCATGAAACAAGACTCTGCGCGCCAGTACCCCCGAAAAACCCAGTAGGGCAGCTACGACATCATCTGCGGCAGCTGTTAACCGTAACCTTGCCTGAAAGCCATCGAAAATCTTGCGTCGCCGAGCCAAGCAGTTGAGCAAGGTCGTGAAGGTGTAGCTGTTCGGCTCCACGCCCGCCTGTTCCATCTCGTGCACGACCTGAGGGTTGGGGAGGTAGAGGTGCGGTTAAATAGAGGGGAGGGGAGGGAGGACGGGGAGGGGAACATAGTTGTTCCGCCCTACGGCGGAAACAGACAGACGTCGACACCAGAATCACACAGAGTACACACCACAGCGGTTCGAAGCTGATAGATGGACCCTAGGTTTCTGAACACAACAGGCCGAAAAAATAGTAGTGGTGTGATCGGAGAGCAACCTGTGTTCGGAGTTGGTGATCCACGTGACTGCTGGAACAGGTGAGAGCTCACCAAGAACCCCCCCAAAGCAAACAAGTGTTGTTGTTGTGCTGTTGTTGTCTTCATTCACTCCGCTCAGTACCTTCTAATACCCGTTACCGCTCCAACTGACGCGGACGCCCTGCCGTGGGCACAGGTCAACCACCCAAAAATGGTATGCAGAATAAATGGGAAGAGTTTCAATAGACCGACGCGATAAAAATCCGTCCGCTTGGTATGGGGACGACAACCATCACCTCGATCATGTGCTTGCGGGGAGCAGCGCTCCCCATCCCCGCCGCCTCAACGAGCCCGTTGTAGGTCCGGACATCGGGAGAAAGCCCCTCGGACACCATTCTCTTGAGCAGCTTTCGCGCACGCCTCCACTGCTTCTGGATGGCCATCCCCCTCATGGCGTTGTTGTACGAAGTCGTGTCCGGCTCTATGCCTTCCTCGCGTGCTTGCGTCATCAACTGCGTGACGTTCGTTGTAGCGTTACGCAGAACATATACAGTCGATGGGCAGCGGAGGGTGCGGCAAGGGCGAGCAACAACAACCGTGTAAGGGGTTCTCTACGGCTTCAAATACAAGGCGTTTCGGTGTTCGCGCTTAACTTTGGTGTCGAAAGTATTGACACCTCGCACCGTGCACGGAAGTCTGGGTTGCACGCAATGAGCCTGGATACCGTAGAAGATCATGCCGTGGCATCAAAGAAGTGCCACTTTCGCGCAACTCGAAAGCAGTGTTACTTCAACGAACCAGTAGCAGCACGTGGCATTGAAGCATTGCTGCTTCTAGCTCTTGCACGGCAGTTCGCGGCCGTGCACATCAAACTCAGAGGACACCAGCAGTAGCAGCAGCAGCGGCAGCTACGTTGCCACAATAGAGGAGCCGCTCACGAGATACCGAGAGAGACACGGCCGACAAACCCACATGACGCCCGACCCCAAAACATCGTTTCAACCGACTTTCAAATAGACGCCCAGGCCAACAAAACATATGGTACATTTTAGCAGAAGTACATACCTAGCTCCGACCAAAAAGTCATCGCCCTTACGGACAATATGCGTACCACCACCCGCCCACCCACCTCCATCACCAATCGCCACTGGCCTGCCTCGGAGCACACCCACATGGCCGCGTTGTAGGACCCCAGGTCGGGGCGAACACCGGGGTCCTCCTCGCGCCTCAGCATGTTCAGCACCCGGAGGGCGTCCTCGTACTTCCTGGGCGTGCCGGAGTAGGCCGCTATCGCCGCGTTGTAGACGCCCGTGCTCAGCGGTATCCCGGCCTGCTTGGCCTTCATGACCAGGGGCAGGACCGCCCAGCCCACCCGTCCCTCCCGTATGTTCCTGAACCGCGTCTTCATGTCCCTCTGGTTGCCGATGGTTACCCACGACCGGGCCGGGTCGTCTCCGATAGGGCCTCCCGAACGGAGCTCCAGCGAACGCGCCTCGGCCTCGGCCAGATCGCGAGCCTTAGCGCTTGCCTGTACACGGTCTAGCATGTTGGAGAGGGACTCCAGGTCGTCGGTCTCCTGCAACGCGGCGTCCCCGGACCCCGCTGCACAAAACTTCCCGCTGGGCAACCGACGCGGTTGTTTCGGTGATTTGGGAGGGATGGTCTTGGGTCCGGTGGTGGTTGGTGTTTTGGAGTTGCGCCCTCGAGAGGTGTCTTCTTGGCCTCGAAGGTCGGCGAACAGACTGTCCAGCTTGATGCTGGAACGCACCTGTGGCGTGGTCCCTGCGCGGAGCTCGCCCTGCAACTGGCTCACGACGTCCTGCAGCCTTGAGCTGACTGTCGAAGAGTCCTCCTCCTCCTCCTCCCACTGCCCCGCCGGCGCTTCCTCCTTCTCGCCCAGTAGGCTTGTCTGCTTATCCCGCAGTTGCTGCCGCCATTTTGTATGACGACGATTTCCAGAACTGCTGCGACTGCTGCTGTCCGTGCTTGCGACCTGTTTTCCGCTTCCATGCCCCACAGCGTACAGCGCAGAAACACCCTGTGCCCATAGTCTCACCGTGGTAGATCTTCTTCTCCCAGCACAGCAGCAACCGTAGCTGTGCAGCAGCCGTCCTGTACCTCCAGCTGCAACCGGTATCGCTGCTGACGCTGCATGCGTGGCGCCGAATATCATTGACGTGCCTGATTGGCCTGTCGCCGCTGCCGCCGTCGTCTGGGCGTGAGGCTGAGCGACGCTCGAGAGCGTCGACACAGGAGTAGCTATCCTGGACACGGAAAGCGCCAAGGCTGCTCCGTGTGCCAGCCGCATGACATGGGAAACGTACGTGCGTTGTGTGTTCTATGTTCACGTCGGGGGTAGCATGAAGGGGGCCGGCTAACCAAACTGCAGCAAAAACGAGGAGGGTGCGGGTTAACAGCCGTGCGGCCCCCGGAACGGCGCCAGTCTCGTCCCGTCCCAGCAGACGCATGCATCATTTGCGGAAATGCGAGGACCCAGCAACAAGTCGGTCGCCGTTCTAGCGGTGACGGCCTCGACAGGGTCGCTTTCCCTGGGCTACTTTCTCGTACGCAGGTGTGTGATACTGACATGGTGGTTCATTTACCCGTAACTTTTTGTGCAGCAGAAGTTGCGCCGCATGCGGCGAGACTTCACAACATTCAACCATGCAACTCACCGTCATTGTCTGACAGGTCCCTCTACCTGCAAGCGACGTACTGCTTCTAAGGGCTCTGCAATGCCCCCTGGTTTCATTTCGACAGGTCTCTCTACCTGCAAGCGACGTACTGCTTCTAAGGGCTCTGCTATGCCCCCTGGTTTCATTTCGACTTTCGTACGGTGGAATCATTATCGGTGTAACGTATTGTTCGAATCCCAGGCCATGAGCCATGTGCTGAAAACCAGGCTGGTCCGCTGGTACGAAAACACCCCCCCCCCTTATGGTTGACAAATGTAAAAACCTCATTCAACACATCTCTTTGTGGTATTCTCTCGAATGGGTAAATAGGCTTTCTTTGATTGTATGTATATTTCCTAAAAGCAAATCGTCGGATCTGCAATAGTGCTTGTCAGCAAGTCGCACTGGTCGCCCTGTGCAAAAAGAGCACTGCTGGTGTGCGGTATGTTGTTATGTTCACCTGGTCCTCTCCCATCTCGTCTGATCGCTGTGGCCTTACCGGAGGCAAATACGTTTTAGCCTACGTTGAGAGTAGGAGTTCCCGGAGTGATTGCGTGTGGTGCCAAAGTCGCACCCCTTCGTACTTCGTTGTATGGTACGAATTGCAGTTTTTTGCTTGTCTTTTGTGTCGTCAACGAAACGTTACACCAGCAGCAGCAGTAGTACTCGCGCAAGAAGAACCCCCCACCCCCACCCCGATCCTCTGTCCGCCGCGGCATTGTTTCCTCTCCCAAAACGCTTTGCACACAAAAGATTTCGGCGCAGGCTCAACCAGAGCAAGGCGCTCCGCGCGGGGCGTGTCTCTCGCCCCGATGCGGCCAGCCTCGCCGTGGGCGACTACGTCCGAGTGAGGGGCACCGTGTCGGCTGGAGCACGCACCCTGCAGAGCCCGATGAAGCGCGTCGCCTGCGTCTCCTACCGCGTGAACGTGGTCAGGGTGGTGGACTCGCGGACAGCCAAGAAGAAGGTGTGACACACAGGGCCTTCTAGCCTGACGAACTTGTTGCCGGACGGCCTTGCCGCTGAACGGCCTTGTAGACGGGCGGGGGAGGGCACTGCAAGATGGCGGCCCGTGTTTGTCTCTGTGTTTGGGCTTTTCTTTCAGTCCTGACGCATCTTCGCACTTTCGGAACCGGTTCCGTGGAAACCGAGGCATCCACTAGAACGGAGCTCTGTTGTACGTACCTCAACCTCGACGGCCTGCAGCGTGTGCATCCTGTGAATGTAGTTCTTTGTTGCGTCGTGTACTAGCTGCTCGTTCTTGCTCACCACCGGTATGCAACCCCGACCTTGCGACCTTGCCTCCCCGTGTACCTCATATTCCTCAAGCCCGCACATGTAGTGGCACCAGGGCGCGGAAAACACAACGCAGTATTCACACCGCCCGCACACCAATCAAGGACCCGCGTTTTGAACCCAATATTCCTCCCCTAGCATGTGAAGAGTGTTACTAACAGCTCGACAGCACGAAGGTAGGCGTTTGATCCGTACCAGGAAGTGCCGTAGTATGCCGACCCCGTGTACACGTCGTCTACCCAACCACACTGTTGTCGCACGCTGTGCTTGTGTTGCGTTCGTTCGGGGCCGTTCCTGGCGAAGGCCTCGGTGGGGGGCATCTGGGGGGTGCTGGGAGGGATAGCCTCCGTCGTTCCTTGGCTGTGCTCCTTCGCGGCAACCGCCCAGGTGAGATGCTAGGCATTGGACCGCACTGTTTGGGTGTGCGTGACGGGCCATGTTTTGATTGCGACCGAAGGCAATCTTCGCCTGCGCTTTGTGAGGGACTATGACCGAATTGGGGTGGTTTTGGGGACTTGTTGTTGGTGCGATCGTGCCCAAGCCACGCATAAATAGTGTCGTAACGTGTTTTACACAGAATTGGGATATAGCTTTTGAAGGTTGCATGTCCTTGTTCGGGCCCAAACCACCGTAGCAATGGTGTCGTAAGGTGCTATTAACATGGTAATGAGAATGGCAGCTAGCAGGGACGACGGTGTCAACAAAGGATGGGTCCGTTCACTCTTTTATAGCACGTACTAGCTTGGATAAAACTATCCGACATCAAAAGACCTGAACCACGTGATTCGTCTTCGTCTTGTCTGTACCGCTCTGTTCCGTGCGTGTTTGTCGCGCTCCAGGTCGACACCGAGAAGTGGGACACGGTATACCAGGCTATCAGCAGCAGGGGGGAGACGGTTCAAATTTTCCTGGACGACCACGACTCTATTGCAGACCTGGAGGCGGTGGCGCAAGCGGGGACGGGGAAGAGGCGTCCCCGGGTTCGGGTCGACCTCGCCGGAGCTGAGTTTTTTTCGATGGAGCAAGTGGCGTCGGAGTTCGAGGCGGAAAAGGCCACCGGAAAGGTTTCTTCGAGAACCCAGCTGGGGTACCGCACCACTGAGGAGGTGGGCGTGTTGTTGTGTTCGCCTTCTCTCTGCTTGTGATTGTTTTTTTGTTCGACACTGGACACTCCAAGCTATTGTCATGCTTCAACATTGGTCATGCACTACTGTATGACTTGTGTCCCTTAAGTTACGCACATGTTACGTCTTTGGTCGGAGGGACGGGTGAAGTGGAAGGCAGTCGGGCGCCTTTTGGTGCACGTAGCGGTGAAGAGATATGAGAGTGATTACGCCTCGAAACTTACGCCGTAACACCTGGCGTGTTCGTAGCAGTTGTTACGTCAAGCGGTAATTTTTACGAGTCTTCTACCAGTCAACACACGAAACAAATACCACATTTCCCCAGTTTTTCTCTCTTTTTTGTTCTCTTTTTGTTTGTCGTCTTGCTTGCTGGATAGAACAAGACCTCTCGGTCGTCGCACTCCCTCGCTCCAACAATACTCTGTCGACCAGTGTGTTGTTGGCACATATCTCGCTTCTAGCCCGCCACAGCAACACACGGGCCCTCCCCCCCCCCAATACAGGTGCTGGCGGTCGGGTCGCGACTAATTGTGCTCGGCGAAGTGGGCGAAGACCCCGAGGGCGCCGAAGGCGACGTCGTGCTACGGAAGGCTGCCCCCTCCAGCATCCTGGACCTGAAGACCACCTCCATCTCCAGGCCGTTCGTGGCTTCCATCAAGTCTGAGCAGGGTCTGCTGCAGGTGTGCGCTAAGTCCCTTTTCTTGTTGTCATAAGCATTGTGTAGCGCCAATCAAGTGTTTCAAGGAATTGCTGTCTAAAAGAGCTATGCAGTCTTGGAGCCAACGGTCCAATCTTCCAGCAAGAAGATCCTATTCTTCCCGGGAGTACTATCGAAATCGTTTTCGCTACCTTGACTTGGCCTTCTTTTGGTGGCTTCTTTGTTGTTGCGCTTCTCGATGAAAACGGGATGGGAGCACCTCATGTCTTGGGACGCGTTTCGTTCGCCACAAGTCACGTCCCATGTTGCGTCGGCGTTCCGGTTCGCTGCAGCCACAGCCCGTCGTGCGAGCCGTTGTCCCGCATTCCTGCCGACGTTGCTCCCACGGCGTCACGTATGCTTGACGTAAATTGATATTTCGGCACCGGCAGGAGATCGAACGGTCGGGACGCATATACTTCTGGCTGGCGCTACCCTCCGTCGCCGTGGGGCTCGCTTTTGCCTACGTGGGGGTGCTGCGCGTGCTCGCCACAATCGAAGACCGCTCTGTGGAGCGCCCGGCTTTGACGGGGAGCGGTCACAGTGCCCCGCCCGCTTCGAAGGGGCTGCTAGGGTGGAGAAGGGGTTGAGAGTAGGCCTTGCCGTGACGTTTTCGTTATCGGTGCACGGGTGGCCGGGATCATGACGTTTGACAGGGCGGGTCGTAGGTGTCGTTCAGGAGACTGAACATTTCGTCTTTTTTCGCCGTGCGGGCACGAGATTGGTCACCGGTTGAAGCTGCCTCTGTTGTCGTACGCGTTTCAATTAATGGCTGTGACCTTGGCGTCGATGGTTGGTTGTCCTCGCCTAGTTGCAACCCTCGCTCGATGTTCTTCGCACTGCTGTTAGGGCTGCAAGACCGGGGATCTTCCCAGCGTGTTTCCAATCTGTCCGGTGTCCGATGTCTACTAGCCGTCTCTATGGGTGATGTTTAGGGCGCGACGTGAGGGCGATGAAGCCGACATGGAACGGCACGTTGGTTATGGTCGCAGGATCATGCGGCGTCGAAGATGTGTTGAGAGTCTTGCGGCCTTGCTGTCGACGCTAACCCCGTCGACCCTCCACCCCCTAGGATGTAGTTGCCAATGTCGTCTTCGTGCCAACGACGTATGGGGTGGAGTCAGCCATATATCCTTGCAGGCCGGAGAGAGAGACAGAGATCAGAGAGAATGAGACAGAGAGAATATTCAACGGCGTTGGTTCGGCCCTCGCCTCGCGCGGCAGAGCAAAGACAACGAACGAACCAAAATGATGTCGGAAAGCGGTGGATATCCAGTCGTTGTTCACGGGCTGCTGTGTACTGTTCAGTTTGTGTTGAGGAAAGACCGAGGGGGGAAGCGGGAGAGGGCGATAGAGTAAGCGGATGGACGGTAATTCACGGCTGTGCGGGGATTCGTCTCGACATGCCAGGTGTAAATCTAAAGAAATGCACGTCGGCGTTCTCATTCTCTTGCACAGTCCCGCGGACAATGTCGTTGCTTTTCGTCGCCCGCTCACACAATACACTTCTTTTACATTTCTTGCAATGAGACGGTTTAGATGGGACGATGAAGAAACTTCGCTGCTTCGAGGAAGCCGCTACGACCAAAACCTCTGTTTTTTGTACAACCTTCGTCGCATGCCTACGTTCCTCGGAAACCAGCACCAGATAGTTTTTTAGAAAGTAAACATAACCTCACAGAAAGACTACCCGTTTGAGATATAACCTCAGTCGAAAGGGATGTGTTGAAGTCTTTTTAAGTAAGTGGATTGATAGTGTTTGCGTCGGTTGCATAATTTCCGATACAGCAGTACCACACACATGTACTCCACGTATAGCATTGCGTAGATAAGTATGCACCACACCGATTTTCAAAGCTCGTTTACTCCCATGATGAAGAGGGATGCAAAACAGGTTCCCAACACGATTCCAAAGTTCCAACGCCACCATTTTTGACACCTCACTTGCTGTCGTCCGTCATGTACAACAGCAGACCAGCAGGACCCAAGGTACAGGAGTGGTCAGGTTTCGAAAATGGGGTTTCCTGGTTTCAGGGGGGGGGTGGTATCTTACAGCAGTATATCTTAGTAAAACTCTTATCCGACGGCGGATGTCTCTTCCTACGGTATACGCATATTACTATACCCCGATGCCCGGAAGAGGGAAGAGGCTGCTGTGCCACAAGGACGACAAGGCGAACCGAGAAACCTGGGAGAGCTTTCCGACGGACAAGTCAAGAGCTCTCGTCCGCCTGTCCGCCTGTCCGCCTGTCTCTCGCTCTCTCCTCTGTCTTCCTCCCCAAGCACAACCCGCCACGAAGCCGGGTGTACGCATCGCAAGATGAGGTGGTTGAGCGCCGCCGCCGCCCTCTTGGCATGCGTTGCAGCCGAAGCGACAAGCCACTCAAGTCACGACCACGACGAGTCAAGCCACGCGGAGGAGGGGTACTTCGAGGTGTCCGCGGTGTACGATGTGGAGGCGGGCACCAACTCCTTCATTGCCATCCCCGCGGAGGGAAGCTTCGGGCAAGATACTTTGGCGTTTATGGTTGTACTGGCAGCTTCGGCCGATACGGAGGGGCTGGAGGGAGCCGAGGAGGACGCTGAGGCTGGTACGCGCACGACTCTTTTGAGTGCCAGAGAAATCCACGTACTCTGTAGGCACAAATAGCAGCCTATGCAAGAACGATACCCGTTCGAGGGAACCCGGGTCGAAGGGATGGTCCTTTGGTTGAACTACAGATATCTATCTACATGAAACACTTGTTCGCATATCCCAACAGGCACGGATGTGCGCACACTTGGGGTGCGTCTGGGGACTCGAGGTTGTCTGTGCAAGCAAATAAAAATGCCCTCTTCTCATTGTTGTTGTATGTTTGCGCCCTGCCTTCTTGTACCACAAACCTGTCGATCTCCGGCACCACCAAAACTGCTGTGTACGTTTCTATGCAACCTTCTTTGTGTTTCTATCGGGGCTGCTGATGTGCTGGCTGGTTTGAAAACACCCAAGTTTGCTTCCTGGGAGACCGCGGGCCTTGAAGCCTCCCGTCGCCACCCTAATATATTCAAAGCGACCTCAAGTGACCTGTATATGGTGATATTCCAGAGCATACTGCTGTTGCATAGTTGCCTGCTCTTTTTCACACGAGCTCGTTAGCTGGATCTCGCTCCGAAAACTGGTTACACGAAATTAAGGAAAAATAAAGACATAATTGAGTGCGTTTCCTTCGTTGCAGGGCTGTCATGGAACCTGCCGTGAAGCTTAAACGGTTCAGCGTAGGTGCTATCCACGGCCTGTGGGGGAAAACAACAAATAAATACAGTCTTTCTGTGTGTGTATTTATTCTTCGTATGTATTATTCCTTAATGATATCGCCCATCTCCACCACCACCTGCATGTTGCCCTAAATGACTCGAACCGACGCTCATGTGTCAGGATTGTGTATTTGATGCACACACAGATACAATAGCAGTGTGCAGCAGCTGAGGGTAACAGGGGATGATCCCTCCGCAGCCCGAAACACGCCTCATGGGAACCGAACACTGCCTTCTTGTGTCCACTCACGTATGCATGTCTGCATGCAACAACAAACGCGACATGTAGTGAATACATTCTACAACCTACAACGGATCCAATATCAAAATGCATAGGGCCGCTTTGCACAACACTGCCGTGCTCCTTTGAAAGTTATTTCCTCAACGTTTGGCAGTGAATCGTAAGTCCTGGTTCCCGATTATCGTAGTCGCCCCCTGTAAGTACATTGCACAGAAGTATGGTACAAGTACAACATTATTGTCCGTAAACGAGAGAAGGCAGTGTTCGGATTCCATTTCATGTGGTTGGGGCTGCGCGGAGAAATTGTTGAACTTGTCCCTACCCCCAGCTGCTGCACGCTGCTGTGTGTGTAAGGCCTATCTACCCCACCGGTGTAGTGGAAGAAATTTCCCCACCGTTGGGGTATGTAGCGGTGCGTTTCGCCTGTGTACAGTGTAAAGCGATTTAGTATGTACGTTGCGCAAGATATCACACCCCCTGGACCGGTTTTCAAACCCGATTACTCGGCAGGAAAAACGTGACGGTGCCAGAAAAGGCGGCGTTGGAAGCGTCTTGTCGAGAGTCGAGAGCGTTTCGAAAATTCATCGTTTGACTTTGGAATCCTCTTCGTCGTGGTACAACCAACAGAGGTGTGAACTTCTGTCTGGCAGGTGTGGTATCTTATGCAACCTACAGCAGTGAAAGGAAAGGGAATGCTGAATCCTTCCCGCGTTAACCCTTACGTGACTGGGTGTATTTGAATTTTTATTTTTTTCTCCTCAAATGGCTCTCTGTGGTCCAAGATCTTACTGCATGTACACACACGAATCACGACGGCGAGGATGGTGCAGCAGTGAATCCATGTGTAGGGCTCACAGAGATGGGGACGCGGACATTTGTAAGGGTGATGAACAGGAGCAGTATGCATACCACTACTGTGCTGCAGTACTACAGCAGTCGTATGAGGCGAGAGAGACTGGTGCAGCAGTTGTCTACGTAGTCTGAGAACATGTGCGGGCATGCTGTCTCCGACAGCAACCATCCGCACAGAGGATGTACCTGTGCATGCAATACCTTCTGGCACATCTTCTCTGCCTCATCTGGACAGAGCATACGGCAAGCGCACATGCTAGCGGCGCTAGATGCGAAGGCGCTGACGGGAAAGCACCTCACAGAAGGGCCAGATCGACGAAAAATGACGGCCTCATCAGGGAATCGAGACCATCACCCACTATAGCACAAAAAAGAAAATCGTGATAAAATTTGCAATTCTGTGCTACAAGTAGAGAACTGTGATCGGAGGTGTGATCGGAGGTGTAGTCGTGAATACCCTCGCCTTCGATCGAAAATTTGCACCTAGCAGACGAACCACCCCTCGCTCCCAATACTGGGAACCACACGCACCGCAATCACAACATCAAGCACCGAGGCAGTACGTTAGCATCGGCTCCGGTGTGCGTTTTCTTTGCTCTCCCCCGCGGGCGCGGCACCGGGTTGATCACATGTTCAGGGTTCTGTATGTACCCTCCCCCCGTGGTATTTTGCGTTTGGATTCAGCATTACCGGTAGGCAATAGATTGGATCTGGAAAGGATATCTGCCCCGCATCAGAGAGATTCGGCATGGTGAATAGTAATGTACTTTGTGTCCTGTGGGCATTTGCTAATAAGCGTGCTTTTGGGGTGGACTGCCTCTTTATCTCCCTGCTGTCCTCTATGTATGTTTGTTTCTCTTGAGTGAGACACACGGGCGATCTTTCGGCACGCAAAGTGGTCGGAGCTGGAATCGGAGCTCAATCGTGGGTGTAGTTACGTAAGGGTTAAAAAACAAAAAACGAAGACATGCATCGCAGGGAAAAGGGTTCTGTGTTCCTTCACTGTTGGGAGACCCTAGGCGGTTACGTTGAAAAAGTAACGAAACGTGGAGAATGGCACCTGAATAATGGGACGAAAACATACACACACACAACCGATCTAGATCTAAGCGGTAGTGGAGGCTAACGGGGGAGGAAATGAAGGTCGTATTGCTGGAATCACGCCCTACTGCTGTACGTATCGAATACCCAAACCAACAACGCCGATGGCCTTTCTCTCTGCCTCTGTCTCTGTGTCTGTTTCTCTCTCTCTCCAACGCCACAACACATCTGCAGGAGTCAAACATACGTCGTCCTGTGTCAGCGTAGGAAAACAGCGACAGCAACACGTTGCGTCGTTTCTGGGGATTTCTAGGATGCGACCCCGGGGTCTCCCAGAAACAGTCTACAATCCCCTGTTTACCGTTGCATGCGAACTTTTTTCCAAGCCTGAGATATGTACGCACAACGAAAGTGCTGGTCGGTCTTGATCAATCAAACGTCGATGCCACCGTGGACGCATTCGAGGTCGAATGCAGTGCGGCGGCGTCCCCGGCTATTTCACCGGGGGATATCAGCCCCAGTTCACGCAACAGTAGCAAAACAAATTCCTCACGCGCGAAACATGCAATGAGAGAATAGAGATCGTGCAGATTGTTTCTTACGCGCGAGCACCTTCAGAGTCGAGCAACCAACCTACTGCACGTGAAGAACGATTTTTTTTACTTTTCTTGTTGAAAAAGGTGTACTACAACGAGTGTTCGAATTCAACACCCTGCACAGAGTGGCACATGTCCCATGTTCTTGCAAGCATAAGGCTGCGCTCGAAAGTTAGCGATCCGTAGGTTCTGTGACATCGTTGGAAATTATTCTCCCGGCCTCTCACAACCAGGAGCCTTCATATCACCAGCTTTTACGCGCCGAAGACCAAAACCACTCTGTGATAATCCTGAATCGAAACCTCGCCCTTGTCAATCCCGGCTTACGCGTGTTCGCGGATATTTGCACACAGCAGGGAAATAACGGAACGTTTTGTCAGTAAGCACCCCTTCCCCTGCACAACCAACTGCAGTTGCTTAACTCCCAACTCCACAGAGCTCTTGGTTGTGCACCACTTGGCACAGCAACCCGGATCGACGCCTGCAACTGACACCCGTCTCCAAGATTACCCCGTCGTACTCAACACCCGAGTATCACATCCTGGTAATCACCTTCCTCCCCTCCTATCACGCCCGCCCACCGACGCCTTGTTTATCCCTCCAACCCCCCCCGCCAGCATGGGATGCATACGCCAGCGGCGCCGAAGATGCGACCGTCCTAGCGCCCGGTGAACCGGCCACCCCGTCCACCGTCGTGGTCTACGAGGTGGCCCTCGAGGACCCCCTGGTGCTGGTGCAAGTCGAAGTTACCACCGCCGGCGCGTACGCCGTCTTCCTCGAGCATGGGGCCGAGGAGGTGGGCACCGTTTTGGCGTCTCCCTCCGGAGTTGTCTTGGTCGCTGCGGCGGAGGAGGGTGGGGATGAGAACGGGGACGAGGAGAGTGGATCTGCATCTGGAACGCAGTGGGTGAACGGGCTTGTAGCCTCCTTTGTCGTCTCCGCTTGCAGGTTTGTGAAGCATCCTGCCTGCCTGCCTGCCTGCGAGTTGCATCCTCGTTGCCAACGATCATGTTTGAGTGAGTGTCCTCGGCGTCATTCGCTTGCCCCGAGCTCTGTATGGCCTCCTTCGGCTTGGTCACTTGTGGTACATGCAGCTTCCGTAGCACTCACAGGAAGCCCAACCCTAACCCTCTGACGGCAACCTCAACCCTACTCTTAGCTCTAAGTGTTCCATCCTCAGCGTTCCCTGCTAGAATCATGTAGGCCCCGCCCGGCACCACCGGCAGCGAGGAACCCGACCAACCATACTATATAGTTTTGAGGTTGTCCGAAACCTTCTTGTTTGTTTTTTATTTTGTTGAAGAAGCGTTTGTTCTGAGATGGTAACCACCGTGGTGGCGGGGCTGATGAGCCGGGCGTGTGATATTTATCACAATCAAACAGACGTGGTCCCAACTCAAGCACATGTATGTACGTGGGTTTACTGGCGTGTGGTGATCGTTTTTTCACTAGGCTCGTATGCACTCTCACAAGATGGATGTTTCGCTTACCTCACACTCGCATCTCGCCAAGACAAGGCAGGCACAATTTTTCAGAAACAATGCGGGACGTTTTGTCCTGCGTGACGTTCGTCATCCGCAGGTATCATCCACTCTTTTCCCCACACCCGAATGCTCACAGCAACCTGTTTGCCTGTAGGTGTAGGGGTAGGTGTAGGTGTAGGTGTAGGGATCGAAGACACGTTTCGGTGCTGCTGGGGCGACGATGAACTGGTAGGCACCCGGAAGCATGGTCTAAAACCTTCACTCCTCCCGACCCCTCCCCGTGAACAAATCCCCCGGTTTCACTTCTGCCTCTGGCGGCGCAGCTTCGCGGGGCTCTTGGTAGTCGTTAACAAGCGCGTGGCGTACAGCATTGGCCTCTCGCACGCCTTCATCTTTGCTTCCGGCGCGCTCCTCACGGCCGCCCTGCTGCACATCATCCCCGAAGCGATGGAGGGTCTCGATTCGTCTTACGACAACCTTCACGACCTCGGCCTGTACGCCAGCCTCACTGTCCTAAGCGGGCTGTTCGTCAGCATCGTCATTCACGGCCTCATGGAGTCGGGCCACTCCCACTCCCCGAATGAAGCCCACTCCCACGGAGGGGGCGAAGAAACGGTCAGACCAGGGGGCGGCAATGGCCACCACGCCAGGGTCTCCGATGATGCCAGCACGATGATGCCACTGGGGCTAGCGGAAGGCGACAAGGTGTCGGCGTGGCCGGGGGGGAACTCACCGCAGGCGGTTCAGATCCAGGCGGACGTTACCCAGCCCCCGTCCCCAGCAGAAAGCAGCACCGACAACCTCCGGGCGTTGATCGCCGAGCGAGAGGGGAGGTCGCTGCTGGACGTCAAGGGCCTGCAGCCGGTGTGCTGGAACGTCGTCATCGGCGACCTTGTGCACAACTTTGCGGACGGGGTGACGATAGGGGCGGCATTTCTCACTTGTAGCGCGACCATTGGCTGGACAGTCACGGCGTCGGCGGTTCTGCATGAGCTCCCCCACGAGATTGCCGACTTCATGGCGCTCCTCAACGGGGGCATGAGCCTCAAGCAGGTGCGCCATCACGTGTCCGTTTGGTCATGGCACGGGGCTGACTCTCTTTGGTGGGGGTGGCCTGCAAGACTTCTTTTTGCAATGTTTGCGGCAACGTTGTGAGTGTTTCAGTTTGCCGGCTGGTCTGCGCATGAGCAGCATTTCAGCTATCGTCGTAGCCCCATATTTCGAAGTTCCAGCGCTTAATTGCAATGCTGACAGAGCAGGTATCGCCTTCCTGTAGCGGGTTATGACGAATCCCATCTTATTCGCTAAAGCTCACACTTGCAATGAGTATCTCTTGGCTGCCGCCGCCTCGCCCGCCGCCGTCAATTTTGCTGTTCGTACAATGGCGCAGGCATTTGCGTACAACTTCCTGTCGGCGCTATCCGCCGTGCTCGGCACGATCATCATCCTTTCGCTGGGGGACACGCTAAGCGATAAGGATGTCTCGATCGTGCTCCTGCTGGGGTCGGGGTCCTTCATCTTCATCGCCCTCTCCGAGCTGCTGCCGGAGGCCCTCGCCGTCACCCACGCTGTCAGCGAGAAGGGCGCGGTCGCCATGATGTGCTCGCAGCTGCTCAAGTTAGGGTCGTTCGTGCTGGGGGCGATTCTCATCGGCCTCCCTCTCTTGTTCGACCAGCACTGCGACGCCGCCCACGAAGGGCACGACCACTGAGTGCAGCACCCACCACACGCAGGCACAATTCGTTTCGTCGTTTTCCAGACCCAGGCTGTTGGGATGAATGAAGTCCAGCGGGTGCAGCGCAAGGGTTTCACTACAAACTCCCGCCTTGCTTGAATGGTGGTGTTGTCTTATCCCACAATGCTCTCGTCCGGCTTGTTGCTGGTCGGAGGATCGTTTGGCGGTCATGGGGACACGGAGCCGTTTAACACGCGTCTGGAAATGCCGCGGTAGACAGTGATTGAATGATGAAGCCATAGTGCCTACCGTGGGTCTTCATCAGATTTGTGTACCCTGGGCCAAAGGGAGAGATCAGGGAAAGAGAGTCAGGGAGAGCAGCTGCCTACACAATCGTGGATGGTGTATTCCCGACGGAGTACCTGAGCAGCACCGGAAAAGGGCCCGTTGGTAATCGGCAATTACGGCGGTGTCTGGAAGTGTGCGACGGTTCCGATGATGTATGGGTAAACCTCTCTTTGACTCTTGGATCGCAAGCGAAAACGTCGACGGGCACTTCACGGCAGCCAATGTGCCATTTTTTGCTTTTCTCGATGGGTCGTGTCGTTCGATGCTGTTCTTCCGTTCTCGGACCCTTAGTCGCGTTTCCCGCTACTGCGTGCGACCAGGCATGCTTTTTATTTTCACTTGCGGGGTGTTCGTGGAACCATCCGGTGGATCAGGGGCGGAGATAATGCCGCTAGTACGGCACTTTCTTTTCCTGCGTGTCTTAACTTTTGGTGGCAAAGGGTTTCTGTCTAGGGCGAAAAACCGTGAGAGGTCTTTCAGCATATTTTGCTGTTTATTGTTCCATAGAGTGGTGAGGTTTGCTCAGGTAATGAGTGTTGGCGCACATGTCTGCCAAGCGATTCGATGTTGTTACACGTCGTCTGCCGTTGGTGCCTGGGTACGTTGTTTCGTTTTGTTGTCGACCGGATCACACGCACACCTTTTCCCACCTGACTGGCCAGAAAAGTGGGCGCAGTGGGCGCAATTTGCCGCCTTCCAGCCGAAGTGATTCAGTTCACTCCCATCCAAGGGGGGTCTGCGTGGTTATGGCGTTTTGTAATATTTGTGATTTATTGTGACGGCAGATCTACGGAGATCGAGCAAAAGCCCTCTTGTGTTGGTGGACGGTGCGCCGTTGGTGTTTTCGGTAGTTTTTGGCATTCTTTGCGTGCTTAATATTGATATTCTAGAGATGAGTAGTCCAATTCTTCCCCTCTTGGTCGCAATGCTTCGATTGGATGCGTAACTAGCGCTATCCTTGCTGTGGTGAGCCACGTACCCTCGGCAGTGTATGCACATGTACCGGAGACCAGGTCGGGTGGTTTTGAAGTGAGGCGTTCCATCACGCGAAACAAACAACACGTGCGGGAAAATAAGGGTGCCTCTTCGTGCACCATCCAATGCAGTAATTGTGGGAAATTGGGTGCAACTTTCGAGGGCGCACGAGTTGCAGCCCGGATGTGTTGACGTGATGTACAGATTCTTATTTCTTTTCAGTGTTACCGTTCCCTTGTGACTCTTTGGGTTCCCTACGGGTTGCGTGCGGGCCTTTCGTGCGCCGGACGATGTGATGAGGATTAAGTGTATGTATCAAATAGAAATCTAGGCAACATGGTAGAAAACACATTTACAGAGAGTTCCAATTTGACCTGGGGGGTAGGTGACACTGTTGAATCTTTTTATTAACTATTTGGGCTGGTTGTTGCTGTTATTCTAAGCCATGTGAACTATCCTGTCGATGTTGAAAGTGTGAGTGGGTGTTCGAAAAGTTTCCCGATACGGTCGCAATCGGGTTTATTGTTGGTGCAGTACCTCGAACACACGGGACGGGCGGTTCCTGCTCTTTGTGTACGAGAACGAACTATAGTCGTGAAAGCAGCAATCCTTTGAGGCCACGTACAAGAGGAGGACAATTTCAGTTCTGTTGGCCCACTCATGAGCAACTCTTTTGCACAAGGCTCAGAAGCGTTAGGAGGTGCTTCTGACCAAAGACTACGTCTGTCTATGGTACTGGCTGCTGGAGTACACCGGATTAGTGTCGTGTAGGCGACGGCCCTCAATTCTCATTCACTCATGTCGTTTTTTTTTGTGTTGTTACTTGTAACGCATTTTTTCTAACCTGAGCGCAGCCTTCGTGTGAGTGTGTCTCATGAGCGGGCCGACATTGTATCGGCACGTAATGCAGGTAGAAACGGCCTGCGTGTTTCTCATATCCCGTAGGTCCTTTTTATGCTGTGCCACATTTTCAATGATGCGAATCGCGATTGAGTGAGTTCACACACCTCCATGGGAGCAAACACGTCCGGGCGTTCGATGAATCTCTAGGTAGCGTCCTGAGGGCGCTGTTCGAGCCAAATATATGTTAACTGTTTCATGCATATTCAACAATATATATGAAGTGGGATGCATGTTGATCACATCCAGAATCACAGCTAGCTGCTCGTTCCTCCCCTGATTAGCTTCCGAATTTGGTTGATACGCATACCCTTCCGCAGGGACCGCAATGCCACAAATAGACCGCGACACACCGTGTTGCCTTTCGCTCACTTGAGGTGCCTCGATCAAACACATGCCTACTGTATGATACATGTTGGTGCATTCTGCTGTCTGGCCTTCGGTCATTTCCGTGTGCCCTTCTCTGTATTGTAGTGAATGTAGTCTGTCTGACGAAAAAAGTCAGGACAAAATGCCAAATGAACTTCATACGAGTGTGCACCTAAAAAATATGTAGTCGAAGGACTTCTTCTCGGTCTGTCAGGGGACGTGCAGCTTTTGCGATAACGCCCCGGCCCAGCGCCAAGAAAAAATGAAGAATACCATAGTCTACATGTGAGATGAACCGGAAACCACTCTACATGTATTTAGACACAAGTGAATTTTTTCCTACGAGCTGGTTCACCCAAGAAAAACAAAATTTGTTCCCCGCAAATCCTTCGTTCGTTTTTTTGGAGATTGTTAGTGCACTGCCGCCCTCAGCGGTCTGTGGTGTTGAAACTGGGGACTATGTTATCCCAGGAACAGCTGATTAAAAAGGACCATGTATTGTATATATTCGTCACGCAAGCCCCTCAGGCAAGCTGGTATTCGACACGCAAGCCCCTCAGGCAAGTGCCGGGAGCACACCGCTGTGTGCTCCCGGGGGCCCCGCACTTGGACCACAACCGCATACATACCCTCACACCCATACTTCCCATACGCGTATCCCCCACAGAGGATGCACAGATCGGACTCATATCCAAGTACCACAAACAGCCCCCCTACTTGATACGATGTACGATCTTGCAACCAATGCGAAAACGCAATCAGCAAACATAGAAAAACACCCCTTGAGAAAACTTATTCAACAAAACTGGCTACGCATCCAACACAAAGCGTCTCCATCAGTTTATTCACGAATCCAAAGCGTTCGTCTCTGGAAATAATCTCAAACCGTTGACACAAAAGAATCATCCTCAGAAAAGTATCCAACAATTATTTGTGCTACATCAGAAAGGCGTCGGAACGAAAACGGACATTTCTGGAAAAAACAACTTCCAAAAAGAGTTGGCACCAAATCCTCAAACAAAACAAAAACTCAACTTCTTGACCAATCAAAACGAGAATTCGGAAAGCACAATGGCCCCAACCATTAATCGTCGAAACATGTCAAACCCATTCCTCCAATACCAAATCCTAAACAGCGCGCACCCGCTAATCGGTACCGTCGCTGTTGTCCAAGAAACGATGGAAAATATAAGCAAGCATCCACGCAAACAGCCCCCCTGCTGTCAGCTCCCAAAATTCACCCCGAGCTAATATCTCAATGTCAACAGTCCCCCCTGCTTTGCCGTTCACCTAAAACACAAATAGGCAAGGCCAGAAAACGAACCAATTCGATTGCTGCTCACGCCCTCTAGAATCATGGTCATACATGACATCCCCCCCCATGATTTTCGATGCAAGAGCAGCAAAACATGCGATACAAACCAAAAACATGAAAACACGTTACACTCATGACATCAAACTCCGGAAAAATTCGTACCGTATGAAAACTGTATTTGCAACTGGAACTCCAAAAGCTACCCTGCTCCCTGAGCCACATGCCTTCACGCACGTCAAGCAACGCGCTATCATCCCATTTCTTGCGCGCGGCCAAAAACACACCGCAGAGAGCGACCGCTTAACTCAGGACCTAACATAAAAAAAAACCCCAAAAGAATCGAAACACCCTAAGCGCAAAACGCGACTGAACGTGCTCCCGCCAAAGAATAGGGAAATAATATGAATCATTCAGCGGCAAGGTAAAACGTGACTGAAAACATACGAAGAAGCAAGGAAAAAAAAATAAATAAAAACCCACCTGCTGCTTCATATTCCACAGGTTGTGGCAATGCTTATCTTGTCGCAGCGAACATTTATGATCATGAAACCAAGTACAGAAAAAAAAAATTGTTACGCACACGCCGTGGCACACGTGTTTTCTGCATCGAAGTGAACGGTGAGCTTGCAAGGGAAAAACAGAAAAAAAAAATATAATAATAATACGAAGCCAAACGGCGAAGCTAAAACGTCCATGGCTGCTCGCAAAACCGAACAAAGTCGTAAACGTTTCACATGATTGCCCACTTGGCTGTAACAAGGTGAGGTCGTCGCTGTCACCGTGTCCTCCCCGTTCCCGGTCGACTCGAGGGCGCCACCGCTGCTGCCGCCGCTGCCATCGCCGCCGCTGCCGTTCCCCCGCCGCCACGACCGTCATGAGTTCCAGCGCCAACACGGCTGCCGGTAGCGTCACTGCTGCCGCCTCTACCACCGCCGCCGTTGTCGCCGCAGCCACCGACGGGGCTCTGGCCAAAACCGCCGCTGCCGGCGTCTGCTGCCGTCGGAGCTCTGGCCGAAGCCACCACTCTCGTCGCTGCTCCTGCTGCCGCCGGTGTCGCCGCTGGAGCTCTGGCCGAAGCCACCACTCCCGTCGGGGCGGCCGCCGTTGCCGCCGTTGGAGCTGCCACTCCCGTTCCTGCCCCTATCGAAGGGGTACGCCACCCCTGGTACCGCCCCCCGTCTCCGCGCGCCACGCGAAGACGTCTTAACGGGGTCGAAGGGGTGCGTCGGGGCTCCACTCCAGGTTTCATCTAACCCCTCACCCCCGTTCCCATCACCGCCGCTTTCCTTGCTGCTGCTGCTGCTCACTTCCTCCTCAGTCTTCCCGGGATCAAAAGGGTGCGTCGGGGCTCCACTCCAGGTTTCATGCAACCCCTCGTCGCCGCCCTTGCGGCCGTCTGAACACTCGACGCCCACGCGGCGACCGGGGACGCCGCTGCTGCTGTCGCCGCTGTCGTTACACCCGTCACCGATGTCGACGCCGTCGCCGCTGCGGCCGTCTGGGCACCCAACGCCAACGCGGCGACCGGGGACGCCGCTGCTGCTGTCGCCGCCGCCGTTCCCCCCGTCACCGATGTCGCCACCGCCGCCGCTGCGGCCGCTGCTGCTGCTGCTGCTGCTGCTGCTGCGGCCGCCGCTGCTCCGGTCATCCGTCTCTCCACCATACTTCCCCTCTCCATCCACACGCACCTCCAGCGTATAAAATCCTCCAGGGTCAAACGGGTACGACGCGCCCCTCTCGAAACCGCAGATGCCGTCGTCTCCGCTGCTGCTGCAGGTCAGGGTGCCCGGGGCCATCGCGGCGACCGGGGACGACGCTGCAGCTGCCGCCGCTGCCGCCCCCCCCGCCGCCGACGCCGCCGCCACCGCTGCTGCGTCCGTCGAGGTACCCGGGGCCATCGCGGCGACCGGGGACGACGCTGCTGCTGCCGCCGCTGCCACCCCCCCCGCCGCGGACGCCGCTCGCCACCGCTGCTCCGTCCGTCGAGGTGGCCGGCGCCATCGCGGCGACCGGGGACGACAAGAAGTCGGTGCTGCTAGTGCGGTGGGTAGACGCGGCACTATCACCAACCCACCAGTCGGTACGCCCAGTCGCCGACAGCAAAGTGGAGACAGGGGCCGGCGGATACGCTACAGGGTGACGGTGTTGGCAGAAAACGTGAAGAGCATTACGATCGGGGGGGGGACCTACCGGCTCTACGGTGCCGTACGAACCGGCATGACCACCCCCCCCTACTCCATCAACGCATTCACCCTCACCGCCACTGACCTGTATATCCACGCCGGAAGCATCCCCCCACGCGCGGCCCTCCTGCTGTTGCAGCTGCTGCTGCGGCTCCTGCTGCTGGGGCACACCACCATAGCCGCTGCCGCCGGAACCCTGCCATGGCTGCACACCTCCGCTGGAACCATCCTGATGTACCACGGCAAAGTGTTGCTGCGGAAGAGGCGCCGACACGGGCCAATGGTGCGCTATCGACCCGTCTACACAACTTGGCGAATACCCCGGCTCCG